GACCTTACCACCAGACTTGATGGAGTGACCTGAAGGGGTAATTCAGTAACTACTGCTGGAATTTCTGAACGAGTAGAACTAGGTGTGCCGAATTTGGGCTCCGTTTTGTTAGTTATGACGAGTCCATACCTCCGGACTTGATGGAGTGACCTGAAGGTGTAAATCGGTGATTGCAACTGGAACTCCTAGACTGGTGGAACTAGGTGTGCCGAGTTTGGGTTCGTTTTGTAGGTTATGATGAGACCTTACCACCGGACATGATGGAGTGACCTGAAGGTATAGTTCGGTGATTACAAGTGGAACTTCTAGACTTGTAGGACTAGGTGTGCCGAGTTTGGGTTCGTTTTGTTAGTTATGATGAGACCTTACCACCAGACTTGATGGAGTGACCTGAAGGGGTAATTCAGTAACTACTGCTGGAATTTCTGAACCAGTAGAACTAGGTGTGCCGAATTTCACTCCATCAAGTCCGGTGGTAAGGTCTTATCGTAACTAACAAAACGAAACCAAACTCGTCACACCTAGTTCTACTAGTCTAGGAGTTCCATTTGTAACCACCTGATTACACCTTCAGGTCACTCAATCAAGTCCGGTGGTAAGGTCTCATCGTAACTAACAAAACGAACCCAAACTCGGCACACCTAGTTCTACAAGTCTAGGAGTTCCACTTGTAATCACTGAACTACACCTTCAGGTCACTCCATCAAGTCCGGAGGTATGGACTCGTCATAACTAACAAAACGAAGCCCAAATTCGGCACACCTAGTTCTACTCGTTCAGAAATTCCAGCAGTAGTTACTGAATTACCCCTTCAGGTCACTCTATCAAGTCCGGTGGTAAGGTCTCATCGTAACTAACAAAACGAACCCAAACTCGGCACACCTAGTTCTACCAGTCTAGGAGTTCCAGTTGCAATCACCGATTTAGACCTTCAGGTCACTCCATCAAGTCCAGAGGTATAGACTCGTCATAACTAACAAAACGGAGCCCAAATTCGTCACCCCTAGTTTTACTCTGCAAGAAGTTCAAATAGCGGTCACGAAAGTACACCTTCAGGTCATGCCATCAAGTCCAGAGGTAAGGTCTCATCATAACCAACAAAACGAGCCCAAACTCGGCACACCTAGTTCCGCTCGTCCACGAGTTGCAGTAGTAGGTAAGTTTATATATCCTACTTATTTTTAGCTAAATAAAAACTGTGAGTATAAAAATAATAATTTTATCACTTGTCAAGTACTTATGTTTCCAATTTGTTTTTTTCTAATATTTTGTGTATGTACAGCGATCTTTTCAGAATGAGCCGCTGCAAACAGGCGATACAGTGTCCACTCACGACGGCGGCCGAGCGCGGACTGTGGTTTCATCGAAATCTTTGTACAATAAATCAAAGCAGGCACCAACAATAAAATAGCCCTTATTGCAATACATTATGATTCATCCGTATTACCAAAATATGTGAAAAAATGTGCATCAGTTTTTATTTTTTTTACGACTATTTGTGACATTTTGTTAAAAAATAAACCCAGGGTTTTTTAATTGAATATGTCTGTCATCTTATAGTATTTTTTAAATTTTTTAAATATGTTGATAATAGACCAAAACATGTACCGAAACACAAGCCGGTATCGTTAATTTTGTAGAAAATGGCAACGAAAGTTCGTTTTTACAATATAAAAAACTACTATTTTCAACAAAAGAGTTACAGACATTTGCAGATGAAGAACCAATCTATACATGGTAGTTTTTACTTATATTTGATTTGGTTTAGTTTTGTCACAAAATCTACCGAAAAACACCCTAATTTTGGTTGATTTGCAAACGCGTCCTTAATGAACGCATCAGCAAAATAAATGATAATCATTTCTACACTGTAGGTTATGCAGATGACCTGACAATACTGGTCTCTGGAACGACAGCAAGCATAGTGTGCGACCTGACCCAAGTGGTTGTCCGTACAGTGGAGAGATGGTGCAGGGAATATGACTTAACCGTTAATCTGAACAAAATGGTTCTAGTAATGTTCACACAAAACCGAATGCTGAATAACTATCATATCCCAAGTCTTTTCAGCACAAAACTCCAGCTATCCTCTAAGGTAAAATACTTAGGTCTTACTTTGGACAGTAAACTCTACTGGAATAATAAACACATAGAAAACAAAATCAACAAGACTAGTAATATCTTTCTGGCAATGCATAAATGTCGGACGCCAAAAATTGTACTATGGCTGTACAAAACTGTAATTCAGCTCATGATCACATACGGCTCTCTGGTATGGTGGACCAAAACTAATAAAGCCACCACTATAAAAAAGCGTCAGCGTTACCAGAGATTGGCATGTAAACTGCCACAGGCTGCATAAGAACTACGCCTACAGCTTTAGAGGCTATGCTGGAGCTAACCCCGCGTCATCTGCACATACAACAGGAAGCAACTTCAGCTGCCATTAGACTCAAGACCCTAAATCTTTTGAGTAAGAGCAGAGTCCCTCATACAGGTATAATTAATAGAATTTACTTAAAAATTCCTACCTTACAAGCCAAGTATGATAAGATCCCAAAACAATTTGTATTTGATAAGAAGTATAAGATACAATTGCAAGTTTTTCTCTCAACACCTTTGTGACGGTCCAGGTAAAATGCAAGTATTAAATGCTTTCCTTTTTATTGACAAGTCTTTAGACTTCATGATCTCTTTTAATGACCAGTATACCAGTAAACTTGCAGTGGCACAAAGAGCAATGGAGAGGAGTATGACCGGCTATAAAAGACAGGATATAAGATCAGAAATATTAACATTAGGAATTTAACAAAACTTACTGACATACTCAAACGAATCGATCAACAGAAGAGGAGATGGAGAGTCAGGACATATGATGGGTGACAAGGTGGGAAAGTGGAGCAGGAGAGTAACAAAATGGTATCCAAGGGACAGCAAAAGAAGACGAGGAAGACAGCATGCAAGGTGGGAAGATGAAATAAAACTTACAGCAGGACCAAACTGGAGAAGGGTTGCTCAAGATAGACAACAATGGAAATCGTTGGAGGAGGCCTTTGCCAATAGGCACGCCGAACTAAGAGACATTTTATAGTTAGTAGATTCTTTTATCTTAAGTTTTAATGTTAAATGCTATTAGATAGGAATAAAGTGCTTTATTATATTATAAGATACAATTAAATGAAACCACCCAGCCGGAGGGATTAAGCCCAAGAGTTTAGTTTTCACGGATGGTTCTAAAACAAATTAAGGTGTAGGAACTCGAACTTTCTCTGAAGACCTTAATATCCTCATATGTACACCGCTGGGTACCCATAACACAGTCTTCCAGGCGGAATGTATGGGTATCATCCAAGCGGCCATAACAATAGATGCTAGGAAAGTAAAAGACTTCTACATCAGTATACTGACCGACAGTATGGGGGTAATACAAACTCTGAGTTGTAATGTGGTGAACCCGGGACTAATATATGAATGCCATCAACGATTGAATGAGATACATAAGTACAACAATGTGACTCTGCAATGGATTAAGGGACACAGTGGATCCAGAGGCAACGATGCAGTAGACGAACTGGCCAGAAGGGGATCGGCTCCTGCCACTATAAGGCTGGAACCAAAAATACCAATCCCCTTTTATTTACGTACGTTCACTAGTACATAGAAATTTCAATAATCTACACCTTCGATCAACAATACCACGTCGTAACGGGTCACGTACAAAATCATAGCTAAATACTGTACTGTACTGTAGTGACATAAATAACATTTAGTTTTAAATCAACCTTAAGTTATAACAAATAAAGCACTCTTTTCCGTTATTGCCTTGTTAGCTACGTCATTTTATTATGTTTCTGTTTTCTTCTTCGAATATGGTCCAGGAAGTATTGAGTCGCGTTCAACTCTAAAATAATTTGTAATATGATCATAAGTTTAATTAAAATTATTTTTATGTTTTGGGCATTTATGATGGTTGGTATACATACTTTCCACACTAGCCATTGAATATAATATAGTATGTAGTGTATTTTTATTAGCTAATTCAATATATATATATTACACACACGCACGCACGCACGCGCACGCACACGCCCACGCACACGCGCACGTGCGCGCACGTACACACACGCGCACGCACACGCGCACGCACACGCGCACGCACACGCGCACGCGGACGCGCACGCGCACGCACGCACACGCACGCACACGCGCTCACGCGCACGCACACGCGCTCACGCGCACAGGTACATACGCACACACGTGTGTGTGCTCTTATTTACTAAGACGGATTTCTTGCGCCGACCCGACATCTAGTTGGTATTGTTGATCGAAGATCTACACTCTCAGCTTTGAAATCTATTAGACTGTAGACAAGCTAGGGAGGCTCTGTTTGAAATAAACAGTCGTCTAACCAAGGTTCTAATGAGACTGAACAAGCCACAGATAAGGATAGTAACAAGTGCTATCACAGGACATGGCTCCTTTAACAAACATTTATTTACCATAGGTGTTACATGTAATGTGCCTGTGCAGGGCCTGCATGGGGGAGGTAGGAACGGCGGCTCACCTGTTGCCGACATGTCCGAAGGTCGCTGCATACAGGGCTAAACATCTCGGCACGCCGGGATCGCTCCACGAACTTGCTTTTTGGCTTTGCATCATCAAAGGACTATTGAATTTCTTCGGGGAGATTTCATAACTCGAATAATCACAATATGCCTGCCCACACGCAAAATACGCGATTAGACGTGGAGTTGCGGAAAACAGCCCGTCGTAAACTAAATTAAAATTACTACCAGGTCGAACTACATTTTATTGAGGACCTACACTTCGCTTATCGGTACGAGGCTGCCACACCTTGAACCATACTGCTGATTCATTGGACTATGATGGTTAAAAATATGATGGTGGAAAATATAATTGTATTTCAAAGTTATTAAATTTACTTACAATTTACGGTGCTACTAATTTTAAAATGATCAAGCGTAACTGTAGATACTAACCGCTGCAATCATGATTGTCTTCGAATTTCCACCTAACGAGTCCTTGAGGAGCCACGTCAACACGGAGTCCCGGTACGGGATGAACACATTCTTTTTGCCCTTAGGCGTCCGATCTAAAAATAAATAGGTTACAAGATTAATAATAGGACCCAATCGATACCAATGTAAATTTTTTATACGTGTATGTAAAATAATACTTATTTGTACATGAACTTATCAGAACAGTTTTTTTTTTGCAAAAAAGTAGAATAGATACTCATACTCTTTACTGCATTTCTAATAGAATAGTCTGTGATAAATAAGAGAACACCAAAAACGCAACTATTTTCATTAATTTGCGGTAGTGGTGTACATGACAGTACAGTAAGGTCAATAAAAACATATATTTTTAAAACCTTCATATTTTTGGCACCACATGGAATACTTTTTTTTTGTATTTTTATTTGAGCGCCTGACATCTGTATTATTAAAAGCTCCAGGATTATCCATTCTTTTGAGACACCCGATACATCATACGCCTACAACATAACTCCTGCGCTTTATGTGATTCACCATCTTCGACTACATCACCACTCACCCAGGTGGGGTCAAAGTGAAGCACGGATTTATAATAGTAAAGAAAAATATTAACAATATTTCTTGTATTGAGATAGAATATTTACTATGTAACTCATTAGTGAGTCCTACAATACACACGTGGATATTAATGGCTAGTGTATATTAATTACAATAGTTTAAAACTTTTGGTAAATCCAAATGTGCATGCCTCATTCGCTTCAGAATAAATATTTTTGTACTTATGACTTTTTATTTTTAACCGAAATCTTTCCCCCATTACGGGACACAGATAGGACAGGATTTTGCAATGGTAATTAAACTTTATGTTTGAGTGATAAGGTTCATAATATTATTAAACTTTTTTTATATTTCATAGTAAGAAATATAGATATTTACGTGTGTGCAAACGTGGCCACTTGCGCGACTTATTTTTGTTCCTGATCCTTAATATAGTACTATTATTGGTCGAAGAGTTTAACAACCATTTATCTTTCGGACAATGTGCCTTTTATATTATTTATATGTTCAATATGATTGGTAAATACGACTTCATGCGACAAAACGTTGGATTCTTGATTTTTAGGTGCTAGTAGCTTACGCGTTTTGCGCTTAAGGCATGCAAGACGTTAAAAATTTATTAGCTAAGATCCGTGTACCAAAATAATATTATGTGTCTTACTAAGTTTGGAGATAGAACATTTTGTGTGGGATACAATGGTTTAGAAGTGAGATGAATGCAAGAGCTTGTGTGAGAACTGACTGTCTGCCTGCTGGCTGGAGTCTGCGAGCGCGGAGATGACGGAGCCGAGCGTCACCAGCGACTTGTTGATGTGTGCGCCCTCCACCAGCCGCTGTCCGGTCGCGCCCGTTGCGTCCGCTCGCTCGCTGCAGCAATTTAATATACCATTACAGTCCAAAAGTCAACTGCTGAACGAGTGTGGTAGAGCCATGTTTCAGCTATATTGCGGTCGTAGCACGAACGGGTCGGCTCGACCAGGGAGGGACCACGCTCTCACAGAATACTATCGTAAAATATTAACTCAATGCCGCTGTGTTTAGTATAGAGAACCGGAGATACGATTTGCTGGAAACTAGCGAAGCTACAGCTTGGCTCTACCACATATAAAACTTACTAATATAACGTATAAAACTATATTGTATTTTTAATATTTCCAGTTTGCTCTACTAATTTTACACACCAAATATAAAAAAATATTGTATTGTATTATAATAATTTATGATTTTTAAAACTAATACGATAAAAAAGTGGATTATTGTAAAATAAAGTTTAATTAATTACAGATATTAATTGTTGATCATTTATAATTTATACCAATAAAAGCCTTGATTTTTTTTCTAAACGACGTTAGTAGTAAGTAACAGGCTGAATATGCAATACCAAGACCAAGATTGAATACACAAGACCAAAATCGAGACAACAAATATTTCAGCAAGACCAACACCGGACAAGCAAGACCAAGACCTACACCGGACAAGACCGAGACCGATACCAATACTGTCTTGGTCTTGTCCTGCTCATCACTAGCTGCGGCCAGACTGACATCTATCCTGCCCGATTAAGAATCAAAATGCAGATGCATTGTCGAAGAATGCCTCCTTCTCTACACTAACCATACAAAACACATTAGCACTATTCAGCTGTTTCACGCCGGTATTATGTGAGAGCGGATCCAATTCGTGATTGAATCATAATATAAGTGCAGCGTGGCTGTACTGTGTATAATCCAGGACAAGCGATCCTTCTTTAGTTTTTTTTTCTGAACTGAATGTTGCGGTTGCGGGTCTGTTTAGCATAAATTCAACCGCATCCTACAGGCGGTTGCTCGCAGTAAGCGAAGGTGTGGTCCATCATTTTTCGCACGATCTATACGCATATTTATATATTTATATACCAGGAGAGCATAGAGGTATTGGGAATTTTTTGTGTATATTGAAAAATATAAAAAATCTGGGTGTGGGTGTGTCGTGGACACGGCCGTGTATTTTCCGTAACGTCACATTAATGGATGTAACGAAACGACCTCAAAATGCTGGCGCTCCTCCTACCACAACACGCTCGATGCGTCGCAGTTCTCACTCAACGTAAGGAATCCTTTGATCCTTCAATTATCAAGTGGTGTAACTAAATTTTGGATGTAGATGGTAGATATGTAGCTGCAACACCAAACTGTACACCCCAATTTTGTCATCATCAGTTTTCTGAATTGCCTCCCACTATAGAAGAAATTAAGACGTATTCACATCAAAAAATATACACTTTCCTAAAGTGCAAACTAAACAGAAAACCTGTACCAGGAAACCATAACGTGTGAGGAAGTTGGCGGCTTACCTGCCGGCGAGGTCGACGAGGTGCACCTTGGACAGTGTCTCGCTGGGCAGGTTGTTGTGGCGCGTGTAGCCTGCGCGCACGAACGTGAGCGTGAAGATCGCGTGTGAGCGGGACGACACGTCGTTCATCTGCGTAGACGCCGTCGTGCGCTGCTGATTTCCGCGCTGCATGCATTCCTAGTCGATAGACAACAGTAAACAAGATTGCATGCAAATACAGAATCAACAATATTTATTAATTACTATCTAACAAATCTTTTACATCATAACAACATTCGGTTTTTAACCAATTAAACAAATGTTTCTTATATAATCTTTCGCTTAATAATTTAAATTCTTTGGATAGTTAACACAAAATCCTTTAATTACAGTAGAAGTCCGATAATCCGGCACGTTCGGGACCGACTCGGTGCCGGACTACCAAAAATTCTGGTCTATCGGACGGTAATTATAAGAACAATTAGGTTAATAATTATACTATCAAATATGTATCTATATACATACAACAAAGTTTATTTTACATTTCATATACATAATGTATGTACACGTACTGTAAAACATATTTCACTTAGATTTAAAAAAGCTTCGTGATTGATTAACGGAGCTAACTAGCCGGCAGGTAACTACATAATTGTTTCCGAACAATACCAAGCGATTCCGGATGATCCCGAACTACCCTGAAAATTTCCGAATAGCTCTCGAGCGTTTTTATTTACTTTAAAGACACACTTTTGGTGAAAACCGAAAACCAAAGAGCGATGCCGGACTATCGAGCATTCCGGACTGTTGGATGCCGGACTAATGGACTTCTACTGTATATACCTTTTTGAGGGTATACTAGCTATATTACTAGCTTGAGCATGGTTTCAGTATCACAGTGTTCCATCTTTCTACGATATTGTTCATATTGTACCCTCAGACCTGTTGGTCTGAGGGTACAATACGTATTCTATGATATATTACAATAGCGTAGATTATGCGCTATTATCATAGACAATTTGAAAAAATGCTTTTCTTAATTTTTAACATTATCTTTTTTGAATAAGAAACAAGAATCAAAAATAAAAAATAAATAAAAAAGAGACGCCCACCTGGATATCATCATAATCAGACACTAAATGGCGCGACAAATCCTGCACATAAGGTCCCAGTTTTGGATGTTCTCTGACCCTCAGCGAGTGGCCAGAATCACCACTGAGCAAGTCCTTCACGCGCTCGTTGTAGATCTCCAGGTAGCTGACCTCCGTGCGGTAAGAGGAGCCTGACTCCTTGCCGGCAGCCATGCGGGAGAACAGCTGCCGGCAGATGCGCGGGATCAGACCTTGGCACTCCTGGAAAGATGACGGAATATTGTAATATTTATTGACATATTCATGCGTTTGCGATTATAATTTAACATGTTTGTCATCAATAATTCGGTATCTCTTTGTAATGAAAAAATAAATATATATTTTATTCTATCCTAATCTTATATGAAGATCGCCTAAACTTAAACTGATACCTCCATAGCCAAAATACTTTAAAAATCCTATATCTAGATTTTTCCCATTGATACAAAATACTTACCAATTTAAAAACTTTGCGGTTGGTTAAGTGAGTAAACTTGACTTCATTTTCTCATCAAAATTAAACAAAATAAATAGACACAACATTCAGTAAATATCAAGTAATAAATAATAATACAAATTCTGTAAAAATACTTAACTGGGTAATTTATTTTTTTGAAAAAAAAAACATTGAAATCGCAAAGTAAACATAAAAAATATTCTGTGTGATTGATGAACCTAGATCAGATTCAACTGGACCCTCAAAATCAGTTTTCGTTTATGTCGATCCCTGGGAAACCGATTTCGACCCCAAGGATCGAGGTCTATATCGGGACCAATGTCATTGACCTTTACAAACCAGTAAAAATAAAGAAAGCTACACTATTGCTTCGACAAGTCGACGTTGTTAAGAAAAAGGGGCAAGAATTTCACTAGTATTTTTCTGCAAACAGCTACAATTTAATCTTTTAAACATTTATGCACAGGTCAAAAAAGTCTAAGGAATCAGATTATGTCCACGAACTCTTCACTCTTAAATAATCATTTAGAATAATTTTATATACGCCTCAAATTTGTGTAAAAGCAAAATGGCGTCTGAACAGTATCATTAAAAACTTCATGTCCTATTTTTTAAGACTTGGAGTGGAGTTCGAACCAGAAAAGTGACCTTCAACAATTATTTTGTAATCTATGTTGGATAAGAATAATTATAGGTTTAAAATTAGGTTTAAGATCTTATTTACTGCTCAAAAGAGTATAAATCGCTTACGAGGATTTATATGTGAGTCCGTATAAGGGCAGCAATTCCAATGGTTAAATAAGCGAATTTCTATTATACGATAAGTTTGACAAACGAGCACATATTCCACCTGATGGTAAGTGATTGCTGTAGCCCATAGACCTCTACACCTATATTTGATTACGAATCAAAATGCAGATGCATTATCACCCGTGAGAACTAAGATGGAATGCCTCGTTTCCAATAAAAAGGGTCTCTGGTACTTTAATATCTATTTTACGCTAGTATTCTGTGAGAGCTCCTTCGCCAGTCGAGCCGACCCATTCGTGCTACAACTGTACCACTAATATAGCTGCAGCATGGCACTACCACGTTTGAAAGCTAAAAAAGAATTATTACTAAATCAAACAATACACGGTGTCATGAAAGTCGTTAGAATAAATATATTTAAATACAACCCATTCATTCAATACATTCTATAAAATTCCTCTGCTTAACATAGGCATCCCCATAGATTGCCTCATAGTGGGTATAATTACCATAAATGCCACGCTTGGCAAGCGGGTTGGCAACAACATTTTTTTTTTAATTTTATCGCCTCTTGTGACACCCAGGCGAAGATATGAGGTGTATTACATTACACCGCCACTACACGGTCAAACACAATCTTAGATAATAATATATAAACTATGGATGATGAATGTTACCTTAAAATATCAACAGCGCAGGGCTGATATGATATGATATTATGCTGCCAAAAGTATTTTACTCGAGTATTATACGCCGTACAGCCATGCTGCAGCTATATTAGTAGTATAGTTGAAGCACGAATGGGTCGGCTCGACCGGGGAAGGACCATGCTCTAAGAATACCAGCGGGAAATAGATATTAGAGAACCGGAGAACCTTTTTACTGGAAACGAGGCATTCCATCTAAGCCCCCAGGGGTGACAAAGCATCTGCATTTTGATTCGTACTCGAGGTTAAATGTAGATTACGCGCCCTTATTCTATAAATTAAAAAATACTCAAACATGGAAGCATTCGTTGGTCGGTGTAACAGTGGTGATATGAGGTCCACTATTAACAGACTCCGAGTGGTTTAGTGGCGGAGAAATGAAACTACTTTTTGATGTGCAGACGAATGGAGTATGGAGTATGGAATATATTTTTTGGTCAACCCTGCCTATATTTATATGTCCGGCTACGTCGTTAGTTTACCAATAGTAACAATTTTTATTCGCCTAGCCAATTACAATTCATACATTATGACCAATCAAGATTAATCAAAAATACAACTATTATGTACGCTCCATTTGCCGGTGTGAGACTCGTGTATAGCTTCTCTTTGCTGGACTGGGCTATAAAAGTGGTGCAGACCGGCGCGCGCGCGTAATCGGCGAGCGGCGGCGGCGTGGGACACAGCTCCGGAACAGCAAGAAGAAGCGAGCTGCGGAGTTGAAGAAACGGCTCAAAAATGGTCGACGTATGCATGAAGAATGCGGCGTGTGAAGACGATGTGGCGCTGAATATGATATTTGCGACTGTTACTTGTTTCTATATTAGAACGTTAAATATATACGTCAAATTATCTCGCATCGATATGCAGCCCGCAGTATCTCAGTAGCCGGGGGTAATTAGGAAATAAATGTTTTCTTCAGACCTTCGCCTTCTGTGTTATGGTAGCAGCAGGGTATATATTATTTATTGCCGTTTAGGGTTGTTTAGCCTGGCTGCTATATCACTCTTCCCCTAGCGAAAGCGTACCGGAGGCTTAACGACTCGCCCGTGTCTCGTAATTTTTAAAATAGGGTTCATCTGGGTTGATGTAGATGATGGATTTTCACGTTTCCTCGCTGGTGGTTGTGATGATGATGAAGAATCCTCTGAAGTATCCTCGTTAATAATATAGGCAGGCTTTAATCGGTCGATCGATATAATTGTAGATTTTCTTCCGGGTATTTGTAATTTAAAAGCCTTGCTATTTCGCTCTAATACTTTATACGGTCCATCGTAGGTAGGTTGAAATTGTTTCTTCACTGCGTCGTTTCTTACAAAAACTTGCTTGGATGTTTTCAAATCTTGATGAATGAATACTGATTTATTATGTCCGTGTGATGATGTGCATTTCGACGATAAGGCTTTGTTGATTGATTCTCGAAGTTGAGTTACAAAATCGTAATCTTGATCGTTTGACGATGTTGAAGTGAAGAAGTCACACGGTAGTCTTATGCTGCAGCCGTAGGTTAGCTGTGTGGCGCTAATACTAGTGTCTGCACGCGGTGTTGCGCGTAGTCCAAGTAGCACTGTAGGTAGCTCATCAATCCACTTTGTATGTTGAGATAAACGAGTTTTGAATGCGATCTTCAATGTACGATGCCATCGTTCGACTATTCCGTTTGATTGATGATGGTATGCTGTTGTACGTGTCTTCCGTATTCCAATAGTTTAAAGAAGTTTGAGGAATAAGTTGCTTTCGAAGTTTCTTTCTTGATCAGTTGTGATGGTGTTAGGTAATTCGAAACGAGTAATCCAATTTTCATAAATTATCTTCGCGACGGATTCAGCTGAAGTATCATCGGTAGGTATTACTTCTGGCCGTCTTGTTGTTCTGTCGATCATTGTTACGAGGTAACGATGTCTTTGCGGTGAAGTAGGTAATGGTCCAACGATGTCAACGTGCAGGTGTTCGAATCTCTCCGTAGGTGGAAATGAAGCTAGGCTACTTGATGTATGCCTTTGTACTTTGCATTTTTGACATTGAATTCATTGCTTCGCCCAGTTGCCAACTTGCATTGAAGGCCAAAATAATTTTTTAGTGATGAGTTTTCTTGTTGTTCTAACACCTGGATGACTGATGTTGTGCAGTGTATTGAAGACTTCGCGACGACATTCTTCTGGTAGGTATGGTCGCATGGTTGACGTTGAGGCTTCACAGTAGATAGGTAGATGCGTCATTGGCATTGTAACTTGCTTGATGGACAAGTTACTTTGCTTCGATAGATGTTTGATGTTGTCGCTATCTCTGTCTTGTGCTGCGGCGATCTTATGATAGTCGATTGATGTAGCGCACGTTATACTCTCGATTGGTATGCGACTGAGTGCGTCGGCGACTATGTTGTCCTTTCCACTGATGTGACGTATGTCGGTCGTGAATTCACTTATGAAAATAAGTTGTCTTGCTCGTCGTGGTGTTTCCGATGGCGATGGTTTCTTCGGAAGTACATATGTTAATGGCTTGTGGTCGGTAAAACGATCAGGTTTCGACCCTCGAACGTTTTTCTGAAGTGCTTGATTGAGATCGATGGTGGAGAATATAGTCTTGTCTGACAGTTGATGAGTGAAATCCTTGACTCGCGGTATTGGGTAGCGGTCAGGAGTGGTAATAGAATTAAGTCTTCTGTAATCTCCACAAACTCGTAATTCTCCATTCTTCTTCGGTACAATGTGAAGTGGTGATGACCAAGGGCTTTTGATTGGACGGCATATTCCTTGCTCGATCATGTTTTCGAATTCCTTTCGAACTTGCTCGTATAGGTGTGGTGCGATTGGACGTGCACGGCAATGAAGTGGTGGTCCACTGGTTTCGATGAAACGCTCAATGTCGTTCTTCGGTGTTAATTTCATTGAAGTTATTCTTTTGATTCCAGGGTATTCGAGGATCTTGTGACACGATTGTTGAACATCTATGCTTCTTATTGTGGGCAGATTGGTTGCTTGGACGAAAGACTGAGATGCAAGATTGGTTTTCCCGTCGATGATTCTTCTATTTTTGATGTCGACGATCAACTGGTGATGTTGAAGAAAATCAGCACCGATGATTGGTTTGCTGACTTTAGCGACGATAAATCTCCATTGAATGGTCGGCGTAGGTTTAAATCCAGTTCCATTGTTTTTTCTCCATATGTAGGAATCACCGTATTGCTAGCTGCGTAGAGCTGAAAATCCAGTGGCTTCATCTTCTGCCTTTGTTTCGGCGGTAACACTGAGATATTCGCTCCGGTGTCGATAAGGAAAGTAAGCATGCTTTTTTTTATCGGTGACGAA